GGGGTGTGGTGAGTGTGTGCTGTGAGGGGTGTGGTGTATGTGCTGTGAGGGGTGTGGTGTGTGTGCTGTGAGTGGTGTGATGTGTGTAGTGTAAAGGATGTAGCATGTGCGTGCTGTGAGGGGTGTGATATGTGCTGTGAGGTGTGTAGTGTGTGTGCTGTGAGGGGTATGGTGAATGTGTGCTGTGAGGGGTGTGGTGTGTGCTGTGAGGGGTGTGATATGTGCATGCTGTGAGGGGTGTGGTGTGTGTGTTGTGAGGGGGTGTGGTGAATGTGTGCCGTGAGAGGTGTGGTGTGTGATGTGAGGGGTGTGGTGTGTGTGCTGTGAGGGGTGTGGTGTGTGATGTGAGGGGTGTGGTGTGTGATGTGAGGGGTGTGGTGTGTGATGTGAGGGGTGTGGTGTGTGATGTGAGGGGGTGTGGTTATTGTGTGCTGTGAGGGGTGTGGTGGGTGATGTGAGGGGTGTGGTGTATGTGGTGTGAGGGGGTGTGGTGAGTGTGTGCTGTGAGGGGTGTGGTGTGTGCTGTGAGGGGTGTGGTATGTGGTGTGAGTGTGTGTTGTGAGGGATGTGGCGTGTGCGTGCTGTGAGGGGTGTGTTGTGTGTGTGCACTGTGATACATGTTTGTGGCATGTTTGTGAGGATGCATGCATGGGATGTGCGTGTAGCGGGCATGTGCTGTGAGGGGTGTGGTGTGTACCTTAACACATCTATGTTTGTGTCATATAAAAAGGGATGACACACACTTTCCAGATCAGATTAATACCTCCAACTATTAACGTCAAAATAATTTCTTAAACTATTTTTCAAAACTTGGGACAATGTTTAGATGTAAGCCACCAATATTATGACACTTTAAAACAATTTTCAGAAAAAGAAATCAACTTTTAACATTCAACTTCACATCAAGGAACAATTTTTAATCTAGAACTAAAAAAAAATTCAGTCAAGCCCACCATAATAATATATCATGACTATACTTAAAATAACTTTACAAATGACTGTCTTACATGATCCTTGTTCAGTTCAGAAGCATATGGCTCTAAGAAAAAGAATATTTAAGATATTCTTATAGACACTGAGTCAAGTGAAAAAAGGGATAAATGTGAAAGTAAATGCAGTTTGTGCAGCCCACCTCCAAAGAGTGACAGAGTGCTTAGAAATCAAACGAACGGCAGTGCTGTCCCAAACATCACCACCTCACACGTGGGAGAAATAAGACCCTTTCTAAAGAGGTCTGGTAGAAACAAGGCTTCGTTCCCAAAGAGAAGTCGTCCCCTCGCAGGCAGTAGGCACGTTTCGGACTGCTGCAGCCTCCCGTGAGTAGCTTGTCACTCTTGTTGGTGGTGTGACACTCACCCTGCCACCTCTGTAAGCTCCGTGGAGCCTTCACAGATATTTTGGCATGGCGGATCCGACCAGCTGGCTTAATACCGACAGCTGTACAGGAGGCCTAAGCAGTGACCTCTGAACTCATCATATGTAAACTGGGCAGCCTGGTCCTTCCACGGCACTTAGGTCAGTCCTAAACAGGGTGGCTTCTTGTCCTTTTTAGATCTGCAATGTGATGTGCCCAAAGGAGGAGCCCTTCTCTGGGGAGCCATGGGGGTCAAAGGCTGACTAGGTGCAGCCCACAGTGTTGCCTCCGGCTCTGGCCTGGCGCTCTGTCGGCTGTTTTCCAGCTAAGTCCCAGGCGAGCATTCACTGCAGACCTCTCCCCTCCCTGACTCAGTGACCCCTCATGTACCGAAGCCACCATCCTGTCCCTGCACTATTTGTGTCTACTTTTCTTTACTGAAGGCCCCTGCGTGGGGAGAAAGGAGCGTCAGTGGTCGGCCCTTAGAATGCACTGACAGACCAGCTGCAGCCTCCGGTGACCCGATCTCAGCTAGGCTTGTCTCTAGGGCAATAGATTGAAGGTGAGCAGTACCTTTCATTGACACTGCTTAATATTTCCAACAGCCTGTAAACTCCAAATAGAAAATAGTGTTTAAAGGGAAATTGAATGAAGCTACATTGTAAAATTCGATGAAAATAAATTCACCTTTCTTTGCTATCGAGGTTATCCTTTCAGTCTAGCAAGGGCATGTTTTCTCATACTTTCTCTTTTGCATCACGAAAGAAGAAAATGAGAAGAAAATTGAGGGGTGAAAGGCTGCTGCCAGAGAGCCCAGCCTGCCATAAGTGTCACCTGGAGACTGTGCAGATTGGGGCCTTCTTCAGGGGACAGCAGCAACCCGATGATGGCAGGGAGGCCTGATTAAACGTGCTATGAGCTTTGAATTCTAGTGTTGCTCAGGAGCTTCCCTTTTTTCCATTCTGAAATTTTAGATTTTTCAGTAAGAACATGACGAGCTGTTGCCTAAGTAGTTGGGTGTTTGCTAGGTGGCCGGAACCCACCAGACTTCCATGTCTGACAGTCGCCACTCTCACAGAAGCAGATTAGGTTGAAACGTTTTTGAATTCTAATACTCGTGTGCAACCTCTCATGTCCTCTGTAGGCTGGGATTTCTACAGAAGGGGACATCTAGGATGATATGACATACGAGTTTTCCAGGAAACTGGGAGACATTTGGCAAAAATGTACGTGAAAGATAAGTCCCTTCCCCAACTCCAAACGGTGAGATTCTATCATGGCTCTCCAGTCACATTATGAAGAGTGTCCCTTCCTATCGACCAGAAACCTTGTAAAGCAAGGATACCAATACAACTATTCATAAACCAGTAAATAACATCGTTAGGATCTTTTTTTTCCTTCAGTTTCATTATTTTTCAAAAACAAAACTTAGCCCGTGGTTTTCTCCTCAGCGTGGCAATGCGGGAGTCTGCACATGGGCACCACGAGGGCCCACGTGACCGTGTGAATCATAAACGCACAGAAGGAACTGTCCTTTAGTGCTGGCTGCCTTTCTGCTGGGTTTCAAACTTCTCCAGGGGAGCTGGGGGTGGGGAGGCCACAACACCTGAGGTTACGTTCCCAGGGACATCAGCCCAGAGCAGCCGCCAGTCTCCCACACGCATCCAGGTCACCACAAATCTTTATTTGCAGGCTTTAGATCACGACCCCAAGACACAGGCTCTGAGCAGATGCAGCCCTCTCCCTATTCGAAGCCCGCCACTGCTGCCAGGGGCAGGCCACGAACCCCACCACCAACAGCACATGAAAGTAGAACGTGCCTCGCTACCTCAGCACACGTGACCTTTACGACTGGATTCTGCCTTCATTCTCTAAAACGCAAAAGCAACGCCCCGCGCAAAGTGATTTTTCCAGGGAAACTTCAAAGGCCTGAGATTGAAACTCTCCTTCGATTTGATAACTGCCTTTTATATTCAACATGACAGATATAAAAAGCCTGCTGAAGCCTACGAGGAGCCCTCACAGAATTCCTGGGAAATGTGTATTATGAAAAACCGAGGCGTGGACTTCAAAATGTTTTTTTTGCACCAAAATAAGCTTGCAGTTTAATCTCTTTTCCACAAATTGTGTGTAGTCCTCCAGCGTCTGTGTGTCTTAGTGGAGGCATTTTTATATCAGTTATGCTAATGCCCTAGGAGTGATTACCATCCTCTGGTGTCACCGGTTAGCATCTAAGTCATCCAGGTTTTGTGTTTGGTTTTGTTTATGGTGTTGGCTCCCAGTTACGTAATTTAAATAAGCAATATGAGAAGAATATTCATTTTCTTTTAAAATAAAACCAACCAAATGTGCGTCATTTATGCCGCTCTACAACCCTTTCGGTAGAATAGAAAGATACCGACTCAGAAGTGAAGATGGGGGTAAACGTAGAAGCTGACAGGAAAGGTGAGAACGCCCATTTTGAACAGCAATGGCCAGGGCAGTAAGTACTTTTTCTACAGTTCAAGGTGACCCCAGAGTTTACTGTTTCTTCTAACATTTTGGTTCCAAAATTCTAAGGCATTACGTTGCACCTGAAGCTATGTTCTGTTAGACTTTTAGACCGGATCTGTAGTCAGTATTTACAGATGCGACATCCCACAGGTGTCTGGGTGTCTGGGAGGACACCGTGGGGCTAGTGTCCATGTCCTGGTTCTTACTCTGGAAGAAGCCATGCTTTGGAGCTGCAGCACCAAGACAGTGCCAGCCCAGACTTCAGCTGGTCTGGGGCGTCTTCCTGGCGGGAGAGGCCTCAGCACCTCCTTGCTGCCCTACAGGAGTCTGCGGATTTAACTGAGCTGCTCTGAGTGCTTGCTCCTTAAATATCAAAAAGTGAAGGCAGAAGGGAGGGATTGTATTGACTGCATCGTGATTTCATAATTCTTAGTGTTGGAGGAGAAAACTCCTTCCCGGCCTGCCCCCAGGCAAAACACTTCACCGCCTTCCAGCCTGTTTAAATGGACAGCTACAGCCACCTGAAAAATAGTCCCAAATGCCACTCCACTGCTGTAAACCGAAACCATTTGACATGGAAAGAAAAGCGAACACCAAAGAAAGCCTTGCTGAGTGAGAAAGTAGAATCCAGATTACGCAGAGCAAGCAGGACGCCACTTGGCTTGTCCTGCAAGGAGCTGGGGAATTGTCGCTGGGCGCAGAAAACGACCACCCGGCCACCAGGGAAATCGGCCCAGAAGCGGCCACCCTCAGGGTTTCCCATCCCAGGGACCCCCAGGACTTCCAAGGTGTGTTTCCTACACACGAGCAGGCCGGGCCCTCAGTTTTCAGGCATGGGCGCCCACGCCTGAGGGCCACTGGCTGGACATCTGGGGAGGCCGGGCGCCAAGGCATGCTGAAGAGGGAGCCCGGGGAACCAGGACAGCGCGAGGCGGCCGCTGGCTAGCCCCTTCCCGGTGGATGCCGAAGGCACGTTCGTAGTCCCCTCCTCACCGCTGTCAAGCAGGCTAATTGCTAAGGAGTGCGCGTTTCCTCGCGTGACAGGCGCAGGTGCTCCCCGCACCCAGGGCTTCCGAGCAGAAAGGGTCTGTCCGGAGCTGGCCCCCACCCCGACTCCGCGGCTCCCTCCAGGGCTGCCTGCGTTCGCACCCACCTTGACGACGTAGGTGACACCGGGTCCCAGCCCCTGGTCGCTGGCGTGTGGCGCCCCGCGGGGGGGCCTGGGCAGCGGCTCGTCGCCGGGCCGGTTCTTCCTGGCGGCGCTCATGGCCTGGGTGCGGGGCGCCTGGGGCGCGCT